GAGTATTTCGCAAAGGACGTTCAACGATCTCCCTTCGCAGCGAAACGAGGTACTCTCGTCCTCAGCAGTCTAGAGGTCAGAGAAAAATTTCGAGCACTAGGTGGCCGCAGTGAAAGAATAATACATTTTAGCAACATTAAACGTTCTTTCGTTGTAGTACTCATTCACAACGCGTGTTTGTTTACAATATTTACGCCCGCCAGAGTTCACTTACTCTCAACACCGATGCCCTACACACCGTGCCTCGCGACTCGCGAGTCAGGCCGGCCGGCGCCAGCCGATCAACGTCATTACTAGCGCAATATCGCACCAATTCCTCACGTCGTCCGCTGTGTCACTCATGGCTGACGAACACAAAATGTGCGCTCACGAGGCAAGGAAGCATAAGAACTTTCGTACCGGGCATGTACACAGGCAACAAAACAACTAAAAGCACAATGTGGCCAGCGTCACTAGCAGCATTCCTACATTTAGCAAATGCGTTTTTATTTGAAATTATTTTTAATGGTTTGTTAGTCGCATACCTACTTTATAGTGCTTTTTTGTAAAAACCGCATAACGAGGATTTACAAAAAAATCAATAGAGATCAAATTAGAATACTTTTCCGAAAATCAAACAGCGCCAGCTGAGCCCCCTCGCGGCAACTGTTACAACTTTGTCATTGCCGTGTGCACTGCCACAACTCCTTCTCCGTCGAACCCCCTAGGGGAGATTTACGTTGACGGTGTTCAACAGATTTTGGTGGTGGCCGTGTGACAGGGGTATTAGACTCGGACATGACACTCACTCGAAGCTTCGCGTCGTTCTTCCTTAGCACGCGCTTACGGCAGTTCTCGGCGGGCGCCCTCTCTCACTGCGTGCCCCGTGCAGGAACCCCGTCAGCTTTTTACGCAAGCGCGGCTAGAACACTCGCGGAGATTCAGCGCGTCGATCGAGAGTGTGACGTAGTCGAGGTGCAACTCCAAGATTTAGTCGGCCTCATAACCTCGCCTCTATGTGAGTGCTACAAGGTGTTTGACCTGTCCCTGCACAAGCCGAACTGGCATCTCATCACTGCCAGCTTTCTCGACGCCAAGCATGCTTCGTTTATGTACCGCCTGGCAAGGGGGTGTCTGCCAATAATGTACAGACCCTTCACACCAAACATCCAGCGAGGTGTTTGTCCTTTTCGTCACAGTCGAGAGGACGTGGCTCACATCTTTCACGAGTGCGCCTTTCCAAAAGCCCTACTCCGCAAGATGGCCGACTTATTTCAGTTCCCAGGAGTTCCATATCCCAAGGTCCGGTATTTAAATCCGCTCCCTTCTCACGCGGTCAACCAGTTCGTGCTTCTTATCGTCGAGTGCCTATAGCAAGTTTGGTTGGCACGATGCGAGGCCGTTTACCGGGGGAGGCTGCCGGGCCTTCACGAAGTGCTTGCAAAAGTGCGGAAGGAGGAATGGTTTCATCTCTTTCGTGAGCGGTATCCCCTAGGCGCGAGGAAGTTTCTCGAAACCTGGCACCGACCGGCAGTGATCTATAGCGAGTCTAAAGGCCAACTAACCATCCAGCTATGATGGCGGAACATCTAGCAGCACGATTTGGCGAGGCATCACTCGCCTGCATGCCTTGTTTAAGTCCGTCGGCGCGTTCATTCCGCGCTAGGACAAGCGACCACGCCTGGCGGTTTGTTTACATTCTGCTCGGCTGGGCCCTCCTGCCTTCTCCGGGGGAAAGCGTTTTCTTTCAGGCGGCGCGCCCTTCGGCGGGCGCTCTCTCTTCCTCTCCGGCTCCTTCTCTAGCGAGAGAAAGCATGCACTCTTTCTCCCTCCGTGCTAAACTTGTTTCCCTCGCTAGCCCCGCCCTCGGCGTGTGTATACTGGTCTGCTGCGTGAGCAGCTGCTGCGTCACGCGCGTAATTCAAAACCACTCGCTGGCAGGCAGCCAGCAGGCACAAGCCTGCGACGTGTTTCTCCCGCGCGCCGATCGTCTTCGTCGCGCGCGGGGGCGTAGCGCAACCGCTCGCTTTGAACGGGGAAAACGGGGGTCTTCGACCTCCGGTCGCTATGGAAAGGCCACATCTCCATGTGCACTGACCTCGTCAGCTGCACTAAAGAGTGGCCCCCTTGCCTGGGAAAAGTATTGTCGTGTAGCCGGCACGGCGACACGTGAAAGTAACCACGCTACACCACTGTACGATCCATGACAATCCCAGTTTAATCAGCGAGTATCGTTTATATACACACGAGCGCAGTGGCGCCATCTATTGTGAGTCCAATGACTCAGAAGGTCATCTGGTGTAAATGCACAACACTACATCTACCCCCTCCCTTAATAATAGAACACAGATTATGTGCATAAAAAAGAAACAGTCACTACCCGTGACAGAAAACTATAGTAAGTCTCCACTGTAAACAAGTCACTGCACTTCAGTAAGGTTGAGAGCTGGGCTAGTTGGTGAGACATCATTTAACCATATGGTGTAGTAGCGCAAATTCACGGGGACGAAGAGGACAAGAAAACACGACACTCGCTACTTCGCAACTAATTTTTATTTCAGAAGCAGCACTTCATATATAACCCATAACCCTAGCGACACAGAAAAGAACTACGAACACTGAATCATTGCCAACAGAAGCTTTTGCGCAGACTCAAGCGATAGTACACGGCAGTTAAGCTTAGACACTTTTAGATGACATAACTAAAACAGCCCTGGGTAACATCAAATCAAAAAAACCAAAAAAAAATTCTTGGACTGGGTCCGAAGTTCTGTTTCGAACCGTCGCTCTCTCCACCGGAAAAAGTGACACTGGTCAAGACCATGGCGCGTCGTGTGTCGGAGGAGGATCGTCCAAGATTCATCACCGAGTGCGTCGATGTGCTTTCCAGGACAATAACCAGCGACAGAAAACAACATCACGTAAGGAATTTAGTGAACTTTGGTGTAGGAAACAGCTTGCGTTTTCTTACGTCGGATAAGGAAGGTTGTTTGGTTGTCATACCGGAAGGTCTCTTTCAAGATAAGGCGTTGGCAGCCGTAGAAAAAAAATTTTGTCCGTGTAGACGTAAAGGCGAACAAGGTTAAGCAAATGGCTCTCACTTTACTAGAGAACAGTAAATTGGAACGGCTTGCATCAGCAGTAAAAAGAGCAGGTAGCTTACATCTTGAGTTGTTTTTTGCGGCAAAGACTCATAAAATTGATATTCCATTCAGAGCCATTGCATCCGAAAGGGACTCGTGGCAACTATGCTTGTCTTCGTATCTTCAGTGTCACCTTAAGACATTGAAGGTATCGAATCCTTTCAGTCTGCCAAATTCTGAGGCGTTAGTTTCGTATTTAGGCACACATAACCCAGGAAGATGCTATTTCTTCAGCGTAGACATACAAGATATGTATTACAACATCCCGCATGGTCCGCTATTGTCAAGTGTAAAGCATTGTATAACAGAAGAAAACGATGAGTTGGAGTTTGTGAATAAGTGTGGTGTATCGGTGGATGCCTTTCTTGAATTGTTAACCTTTTACCTTAGGTCGACATTTGTTATGTGGAACAAGGCTATGTACCGACAAAAATCCGGTATCGCAATAGGCTCGAAAGTAGCCCCGGTTTTAAGCACAATTTATTTATCAAAAATGGACAAGGCAATAGATTTAAACCTTAAAGGGCTTGCACTAAAGGTGTTTCGGTTTGTAGATGACTTTTTGGTTTTTATTGAATCGGATGGTCGGGATAAAATGGTCGCAGAAGTTTTGAAAGTCTTCAAGAAAAATAGTAGAGGGCTTGAATTTACTCATGAATTGCCAGTCAATGACAAACTGCAGTTTTTGGATATTGAGTTAGATGCCACAGCAGAACATGTATGCTGGTCATACAATCCGCGAACGGAAAAACCCTTACTTAGCTACCGATCGGCACATTCTAAAGTTGTAAAAAGCGGCATAGCCTTTTCATGTTTGAGAGCAGCCTTAACAAAGTCATGTCCAAAAAAGGTTAGCGAAAGCTTCAACCAACAAATTATCAGGCTGAAAAATGCCGGGTACGAAAAACACGTGTTGTGTAGATCAGCTAACAAGCTGATTAGTCACGTACGCAACAACTTTCATAAAAAAATGACAAGTAATGAAAACAGGAAGAAGATAGTGTCAGTTCCATATGCGCACAAGATTGCCCATAACTTAAAAAACGTAGGTAATCGCTATGGCCTAGAATTAGTTTTTTCGGCACCCAACAAGCTTAGTAAAATATGTTCCAAACTAGACCGTAAAGTATCCATAGCAGTAAACACTAATGCTGGTAGTTGTACGGTAAATCACACAACAAAATTTGTTAAGTGTAGCCTATCAGTCGTGTATTGCTAGCCGCTCACGTGTGGAAAGGTATACATCGGCCAGACGGGTCGTTGTTTGAACACCCGACTTTTAGAACACAAGCGATCATTAGGAACTGACATTCATTCTCACATAAAGAGACACTGTTCCCAGTGTGGCTGCTCACCACTGTACAGTGACACATCCGTAGTCTTCCGTCATGGAAACCAACTAACCAGAGAAATTGTCGAAGCCTTTCACATTAAAAAAAGAAAAGAAGGATGCATTAGTCAGTCATCGGTTTCGTTAAGTAACCGAGAAGCCAGCTACCTCGAAGGACTAAATTGAGATCAGTGTTTGCATGTGTCATACTCTCCTTTTTGGTCGTTTCAAAATTTTGTTTCAAACACGTGTGAAATCCCGCAATTTTTTTTTGGTTTTTTTGATTTGATGTTACCCAGGGCTGTTTTAGTTATGTCATCTAAAAGTGTCTAAGCTTAACTGCCGTGTACTATCGCTTGAGTCTGCGCAAAAGCTTCTGTTGGCAATGATTCAGTGTTCGTAGTTCTCTTCTGTGTCGCTAGGGTTATGGGTTATATATGAAGTGCTGCTGCTGAAATAAAAATTAGTTGCGAGGTAGCGAGTGTCGTGTTTTCTTGTCCTCTTCGTCCCCGTGAATTTGCGCTACTACACCATATGGTTAAATGAAGTCACTGCACATAGTCCCCGAGTCTCTCTGGTGGTCTTCGCTCCCATGTAGAGCGATGGAGGGGCACCGGCTGCTCTTCTGGCTGATGGACGACCTCTGGTTTGTCGGCACGATCAGCACCGATTCCTGCGGTCGTCTTCCCCGTTGGTGGAGGCCGTGGTGGGCTTGGCGTATGAGGAGGCAGTGCTGACCCCCCCGGAGACTGTGCAGCTTCCTGTATTGGGATATTTTGGGTCGTGTGGCACTTTGCCTTCGAGGACGGTTTTCGTGCTGTGGCGTTTCCTGCCGACCCGTCTGTCTCCATGTCCGCCCACAGCGGTTCTTGTCTTGCCCCCGTTTCCTCGTGAACAGCTTCATGGGGTACAGCGGACAGTTGGGAGGCATTCCAGGTACGGCCGTCCTCCAAGTGGAATGAACATCGTCCTACCCGCCTCAGTATTTTGAGTGGAGCCCCAAAACTAGGGGTGCCTTTTATTCCAGGTACCGGGCATTTCACCCGCACGTAGGCCCCCACTTTAAATTTGGGCTCCCGGGCTGCTCTTCGCTTGTCTGCATACGCCTTATTTCTTTGTTGGTATTCGCAGACACGACGCCGAAGTCTACGCAGTTCACGGGCGGGATGGGTGCTGAAATCCGCTGATGGCTGGCCAACAACATCTAATGATGTCCTCATGTGGCAGCCAAGAAGCAACACTGCTGGAGAGATGCCACTGGCGCTGTGGGGTGTGGCTCGGTAAATACCCGGGCACTCTATAACTGTGGTCTTGATTGGTCGCTGCTCTAGGAGAGCTACTTGTATATACGATTTCAAGACCCTGTTGAATCTTTCCACTAAGCCATTGACTTGAGGGTGGTAAACTGCCGAGAAGAAATGCTTGGTGCCCCTGTCTGCAAGGAACCACTCGAATTCACTCGACGTAAACTGTCGGCCGTGGTCTGAGACTAGTTCAGTCGGGTAACCCTCCCGCGCAAAGACAGCAAGCAGAAAGTTGATCACCGTGCGAGAAGTGATGCCACTGCAGAACGCAATCTCTGGCCATCTGTAGAAGTAGTCCACTACCACGATGACAAATTGACAGTCGGACGGTGCACGTTCAAAGGGGCCCATGATGTCTATTGATATTTTGTCCCAAGGCCTGCCAGGAAGCGGGACAGGCTGTAGTGGGGCTTGCCAGTTCTTGACACTCTTGTCCGAGGCTTGACAGGCGCTGCAACTCCGGACGGTGGCCTCCACATGCTTGTCAAGGCAAAGCCACCAGTACTTGTCCCTGATGCGCTGCTTAGTCTTGACAATTCCCTGGTGTGACTCATGAGCTAACTGGATGAATGTATCCCTTAGCTTGGCAGGCACTACAACGCGTTCTGTGCGCAGAAACAACCCATCTACTACCGAGAGCTCGTCTCGTATTTCGTAGTATGGAGTCAGTTTTGCGGCAAGTCTTTTCCTTGTTGGCCATGATGACTGCATAAATTGCATTACCTGCCGTAGTATGTCATCCTCCGCGGTAGCAACCTGAAGATATGTACAGACGATGTAACCAAGGACACAACTTCTTCATCAACATGGAAGCCCCCTTTTGTGTCTGGCACGGACAGTCTGGACAAGGCATCTGCTACCTGGTTGTGGGCTCCGCTGCGGTACTGTATTTTGAAGTTGTAGTGCAGCAGTCGTGCGGTCCACCTTGCAATACGAAGTGACTGCTGTCCTGTGCTACGGGATGAGAGCAGTGCCACCAAAGCCTGGTGATCCGTCAGTAGAGTAAATGATCTGCCCCAGAGGTAAACGTGCCACTTCTTGCAGGCCCACAGACAGGCAAGGGCCTCGCGCTCTCCGGTCGAGTATTTTCGTTCTGTCTCTGTAAATGTCCGCGATGCAAATGCCACAGTACGCACATGGGACCCCTCCACTTGCTGCAGTACGGCACCGAGACCGTACGCAGAGGCATCTGTTGCGACAATGACAGGTAGCGTCGGGTCAAACATTCGGAGGACCTTGTGGGATGCTTGAAGTCTTTTTACTACCGCGAAGCTCTCTTCGCAGCGTCATCCCAGCCGAAGTGCACGTCTTTGCGAAGTAGACGACGCATTGGCTCTACTTGCTCTGCCAGTTGCGGCACGAATTTGGAATAGTATTCAACTAGCCCCAAAAAGGAGCGTAGCGTGGCTGCATCTCTAGGCGCAGGAGCATTGATGATTGCATCAATCTTGGTCTGGAGCGGTGCTATACCCTCTGCGCTGACGCGATGTCCTAAGAACGACAGCTCCGACGTGTTGAAGACGCATTTTTCGTTGAGCTTGAGCCCAGCTTCTGCTATTCGTTCCAGCACTTGCTCCGAGTTTTGCCTGTGTTCGCTCTCCGTCTTGCCAAAAATGATTATGTGATCCAAGTAGCATAAGACCCCTTTGCAACCTCCAAGAATTTTCGTCATGATTTGCTGAAACGCAGCTGGTGCCGATGCCAACCCGAAGCAGACCCTCTTGAATCTAATGAGGCCATCGTGAGTTATAAATGAAGTTAGGTCCGTGCTGTCGGGTGCAGCACAACCTGGTAGTAGGCTGATGCCAGGTCCACCTTGGAAAAGCAGCGGGCTCCATTGAGGGCATGAAGCAGCTCCTCCATATGAGGCAAAGGGAAGTTGTCTGCTACTATAGCTTAGTTGGGCTCCCGGAGATCGACACACAGTCGAATGCTACCATCTGCTTTGCGGGCTGCTACAATAGGAGATACCCACTCGGAAGCATTGACTCTCTCAATGACATCAGCAGCAAGTAGCTTCTCAATCTCGTCAAAGACTGGCTGGCGGACTGAAAATGGTAGGGGTCTCAGCTTCTGTGCGACTGGCGCGATGGAAGTTTTCACCTTAACTTTGTGCTGCACCCCTCTTACAAGTCCCAGGCCAGGCAAAAACAAGTGGCCAAACTTGGTCCACAGTGTTGGCAGCATTCCAAACTTGGGAGGGCCAAGGGGTTTTTCATGCCTGGGGCTTTGGGGAAGGCCTGAACTCACTGCTGGAAGCTCTCGGCATTCCTGCGTGGACATTTGCAGGCAGCGCGATTCCTCTCCCATGATGCGAATGCCAAAGGCTTGAACAGCATCCAGGCCAAGGAGAGATGTACCACATGGCGTAACGTGAAAAGTTACAATGGCTTCTTTCCGTTTGTATGTGACTATGGCATGAAATGACCCGAGAGCGGGAATCTTCCTGCGCGGAAAATATAGCAATGTAAGATGGGAACTTGTCAATTGTACTGCGTTTGCGAACAAGCCTTGGAATTGGTGCTCACCCATAATAGACACGGCCGAGCCTGCGTCCACCAAAAAGTTCATGGTATGCACCCGTGTCGTCGCGGTAACTGACGTGACATTGACATCCACGTAGACACCTGTGCTCTTATCAGTACAGACCGCCAAGATGCTAATGACACTGGTAGGATCCTCTTCCGGAACGATTTCCTGGACCTCTGCAGAATACCCTTCTCGGCCGCGACGGTAGCGGCGACATGCTCTCTTAAAATGGCCGCGGCGTCCGCAGGCAAAACATGTGCGACCGCGCGCGGGACATTCCGTAGGCGAACACCGTGCTGCGCCGCAGTTTCCGCAGGCATTTACATTTCTAGGCCCGGGGACAGCAGCGGCGGTGGCATTCATATCAGGTGAAGGTGCGCTGTACGCGCGTGAGCAGCTGAAGTGGCGGCGACGGCCCGGGAGGCGTGTGCCGTTATCGCCGTTATCTCGTCGATCGTGCCTGGCTGAGCTGTCTCGCAACTGCTGTTGAATGCGCTGCATAGGATTGGCGGAAGCTTCGAATTCACGCTGGGTTTGCTCACGAAGCCGTACTACCTCGACAGCATGATCGAACGTAAGGTTATCGCCCTCCAGCAGCAATCGCTCTCGTAGCCGCGGGCACGTGTCCCTGCTACGAACTGTTCACACAGGTTTTCGTCCGCTTGAGTGGCGAAATTGCAAAGAGCTGCTAACTCCCGAAGCGCTACGGCGAAATCAGTGATGGGCTCACCCTGCAGTTGACGACGCTCCCGGAATCGATGGCGTTGAAGGCGGACGTTGCAGGGGGTGGCGAAATGCGTCGAAAGCATCTCAACGGCTACGTCGTACTCGTCGGGTGGGCGTAGGGCTTCCGTGGTCATGTCTTGCGTTCCAGTAGGTGCAGTGGTTCCGATGATTCCAGCGGCGGCCTCTGGCGTGACCGTGACACCGGGGGCAGCACTCGTTGTCTCTGCCTTGGTTGGCGTCGTACTAGGCGGAAGCGCGTCGAAAATGCGCTGTCCTTCCGTCCCAAGGCAGTGCAGCAGGAGGGCTCAGGGACGGGGTGCGGATAGCTCGTTCGCTCCGGACGCCAGCAGAAACCTTTCGAACAGTCGTAACCATCATGGCACATCGGGCGTGCCAGGGGTGGCCAGAAAAGGAGGAGGTGGCAAAATGCCCGTGGAAGCCATCCTCGTCGCCAGAATGTCGTGTAGCCGGCACGGCGACACGTGAAAGTAACCACGCTACACCACTGTACGATCCATGACAATCCCAGTTTAATCAGCGAGTATCGTTTATATACACACGACCGCAGTGGCGCCATCTATTGTGAGTCCAATGACCCAGAAGGTACCGGCCACCTCGTGGCATGGGGGGGGGGCCGCGAAACATGTCGTGTCTTCCCGGTGCTTTGCGCGCCGTGTGGATGCGGCACCCTTGTCCAGGTTGGGCCGTTCACCCAAAACAAAAAAGGACCCGTCCTCTAACCAGGGGCCGGACCCCTACCTGTGTGAACGTAACTGGATGATGAGTGATATGTACGCTGGGACGCGGCGCTTTCGGGTGTCAACTCCCCTTCCTTTGTGCAAACGGTAGGAATGCCCGCGGGACGGCTCCATGCACTCCCATTCTAGAGTACGACGTACTCTAATCATTTCCCACTCTATAAATAAGTAGTAGTCCCGCAGCTGTCAAAGGGCGGACCGAGGCTCGTGGGGCGCTTGCGGTCAGGAGGTTGGCCATGACCGCTAAGCGCCTTGCCATGAACAAACATGGACACTCCATGTTTGTTCATGGAGTGTCCACTCCATGAACAAACATGGAGCGGACACTCCGGCGGGGTTTCGCGACCTAGCTGCTGCGCTGATTTCAGCGCTACAAGTGGCTGGTCAGACCCTATGTCTTCACCATATATAAATCAAGCAAAAAAGTGCTTATTTCTGATGATGGGATATACCTTATGCTCCGTAAGCGAGTGACTTTACCACTAGGCTACACACCCATGTTTCCACTAAGGGAATGCATGCACAGTCGGTCGCACTTATTAAGGGAAATCTCGGAACGTACGAATCGCGGTGCGGCCAGCACTTCAGCAATGCATTGGCAGCAGCTCGCGCATGTGCAGACACTAGAAGGGCCGTTGTCTGCATCGTCTGCTCAGGCGAGTACAGCTGTGTCCGCACCACGTGTCATGTGATCTGAGATTTCCCCTAAGTGTGAAAAAGACTGTACATCCACGTGAATGCTCCGTAAAACCACGTGAATTTGTACCCCTAGTGCAAAACAAATGCACAAAAACAACGCTTCTTAATCAGACTTCACTGATTTGGTGGTAGTGCATTAAACGTCCTCAGCAACACACGATGCAGAGTCGGCATTAAGAATTGCACAAATTAATAAAAAATGTATCTCAAAAAGTCACAGCTTTACTGTAAAGGCGAAGCAATGAACACGATAGCAACAAATTATAAGGTCACGCGCAGATTGAAAAGCAGCTCGAAGCGTGCCCCACGTTTCTCACGCACAAATGACGCACGAAACGTACTCACAGGTACAGATCGATGCACGCGAATAAGCGTCTCAGTTGTTATTTCGCTGTGTCTGAAAAACGCACGCTTTTCGCAAACGGAGATTGCAGTAACCTTTGTGCGCCCAGTAACTCCAACAGAATCGTTCCTTGTAAAGCCCCAGGCCAGGCAAGACGTATGATCGTCCCGTCCTCCCCACTGTGAGATAAGGGCGCACGAAGAAGCATCGCTCCCCCCCCCCTCTGAGCAGGGCAAAGTACGCGTGGGAGATTACAGTGCATGCCGCCGCACGATGTGGACATACGCGCTCATTGCGCCATCTTGCTGGTAATGCTTAAAACACGATGATTCCACCCCCCCCCCATATGCCAGTGAGCAGCGGTAAGTGGTAGATATCAATAGCTTGCCTTTTCATCGGTGAAGGAGGTGCTCCTTCTTCTGAATAGCAGTCGGGACACCTCTGTTGCCTTGCCTCTTCTGCACCAACTTCAGTTGCCGCAGCAACGAAGGTGGTGGGGGGGGGGGGGGTAAATGCGGCGGTGTCGGTACCTATGGCCAACCTCGTGCCTCCACCAGTGCTCCTGCCAACCATGTTGGCGGCTGCTCTTTGGGTGGCTGCGTCGCGGCGGGTAAGTTGCCTCGCGACGAGGTGAACGGCTATGGTTAGGCGGGATGCTGGTGAGTCTTTGCCTGTTTGGCGGCTGCTGGTTTTCGGCTGCGGGTGTTGATGATTGCAATGTCCCCCCATGTGCGCGGGAAACCACTTAAGGGCCTCATCGGTACCCTTGCCTGACGCGAAGTCCAGTCCTAGTGTTAAGCATGCGAGTCACCTACTCGGACAACCAGCCTTTATTAAAAAATAAATATAAATATCAAAAATGACAAATCAGTTGCTAGTCTGCCCTGGTCACTGTGTCTCTATCGTGTTTGTCCTCATGTGTGTGCGCTAAAGCCTCATGCACATGGTTCATTAACGGTCCTATAGTGTCTAGAAATATATTTCTAGGAAATATAACACTGCTGCTAAAAACCCAGATACTCGATCGCTTGGCTTCGCTTTACCTTCGCCCTTTCGGTGGCGACCCCCTCTCCCCCCCCTATTTTTTTCGATGTAGAGCAGCCCGTCATGAATTCACATCACTGGCACCAAACCACGTAAGAAAAACGAAGATTTGTTTGTTTTAAACCCCTGCGACCTCATAAAAATCATCTTGATATATTATTTTCGTGACATCACTTTTATTCGGGAGGTGCCGCAACAAAGCCTCTGCTCGATTGATAGTTACTTTAGCTGGTTACCCCGCCACAGTGGTCTAGTGGCTAAGGTACTCGGCTGCTGATCCGCAGATCGCGGGATCGAATCGCGGCTGCGGCAGCTGCATTTCCGATGTAGGCCCGTGTGCTCAGATTTGGGTGCACGTTAAAGAACCCCACGTGGTCGAAGCATCCGGAGCCCTCCACTACGGCGTCTCTCATAATCACATAGAGGTTTCGGGACGTTAAACTCAACATATCAATCAAATCGACAGCGACGAAGAAGAGTGCTCTAATATGAAGACCTTAAGCTGCGCACCGAGTGACGATGATCGTTCGCGGCCGTTGCCGTCCGACGACCATCACATTGACAGGCGCACCAGGCTTACGCATGGCCCTATTCAGCGTCGGTTGGATTATTACCCGCAAAAAGAGACAGCAGGCGATACGCGAAGGTTTTGCGCGGGCTGGTACGAGGAGTTTAACTCGCTTGAATATAGCATCGAGAAAGACGCTGCGCTTTGCTTTTACTTGCACGCTCTTCCACAGCAATCCAACGTGCAAGGGTCGTTC